TGAATGGAGTCTGCTGCTTTGCATGGCACTGGTGGGTGAGGTGTGGAGTGTTAGAGCGGGAGAGATTACCATGGAGCACAAAAATTTGAGTTCTGGTACTGGTTTCTTTTTGACTGCTCTGTGCTAAGCTACTTCCCAGCCTAGTCGGAAGTGCATAAAATAGAACAATGTGAATTTGCCTAATGTGATATGAATTCCAGTGAGAAAAGATTTTAAAGAGAAAAGGAAAGAAGACTATATTCAAGGGTTGCATGATTCAAACACACACACACACACACACACACACACACACACACACACATATTTTAGCAGTGGAAGGCAAGTAGCAAGAAAGTTGTTTGGGAAAACCTGGAAGGCTGTGCTCAGGATATGGACAGAGTACTCTGGACACAGGAAGCAATGGAAGGTTGAAGTTTATCAGACGAAGGTCATTTAGCCACTGAGAAATAAAGAAAATGTAGGGAATGAGATGGTCGGGACATATTCATGAGGGACAGCAAGTGTCAGGCATGGCTGGTCACACATGAGCAGAAGCCCTGGGAGGAAAGGTGGTAAGCAAGACTATGGAACAGCGTTTGAGGACTTTGAAAGTCATGGTGAGTATTTCAGCCTTTTCACTTGAAAACCACAGTAACCCTTTAATCATGTTATGATTCATCATATTTTTAGAATGCCCACTTTTCCTTTTGAAGTTGTAGCTAGGAGGTAAAAGAGGGAGAGGTTGGAGTGAGGAGAAGAGGGAATTTCTGAAATTGTGTCCTTTCTTTCTGTATAGAAACATAGAGTGTCCACTTGAAGAATTGTAGGATTGACCATTTGTAAGACTGCTGTTTATGAGTAACTGATTTTGTACTATGTGTGAGCTAATAATGCTCACGGTGAAAACTCACGTAGTTATCTCCCTCGACGTGTTATTTTCTCCAACAAGATGGCATGAGACATTTCATTTAGATTTTAATGAGTATTAGACACTGTGTGAAAGGAGTTTTTATGCCCCATGTTTTGAGAATCTAAACTGATCCTGTTTTTAGATCAGTGAAAATACTTTGTATGATATTACGATGATGGATGTATGTTACTAATATGTACCAAAACCATAGAATGTACCACACCCAAGAGTCAACCTTGGGGTAAACTTTGGACTCTGGGTGATGAGGATGTGTCACTGTAGGCTCATCAGTTTTGGGAAATGTGCCGTTCTGGTGGGTGATGTTGGTAATGGCAGGGGTGATATTTGGCTGGCGGCTAGGGGCCACATGGGGAATCTCTATACCTGTGTCTTGGTGTTGCTGTGAATGTAGCACTGTTGTAAAAAAATAAACTCTTGACGAGAACAAACTAAAAAGCAGCAACAACCAAATGATCTTATCAAAGCTGAGAAAGGTGTGTGATTTTGCTGCCTCCTCCCCGCCCCCCCACAGAGACAGCTGAGAGGAGCCCATCTGCTCCTCCTCTGAGAGGGGAAGGGACAGGTCTGGAGTCACCATTGAATCATACTCGGGATGCCTGCTGGGTCAATCTTCATTCTGTTGGAGCCACAGTGAATTCACCTGTATGCTCTCCATTGAGTTTTCAAGTGCAAGATGTACAAAGACTGATGTCTTCAGTGCAACCCTAACATCTTGAAGGGAGCAGGCACCTCAGTCCAGATAAGCTCAAATCCAACTGGACTATGTTTAGAAAACTAGATGACTAAATTTTGATAAACAGCTGAATGAGTTTGTCCTTCTGCGCTGAATATATCTTAATAAAATCAGCTCTCATATCTTGTATATCTCCAAATCTCATACTTGACTGCAAAAATATGTTCAAATTTCATAACCAGGCTTCCATGGCTTTGGGCAGAGACAAAAACTTGCTTTTCCAAGTTTTTCTGCTGTGACACTAGAGTCTGTCTAAACCAGCGGTTTCATATTGATCTTCTCTCTTTGTCCCATCACCCCCATTAAAACGTTGGTTGGTTTCTTTCACGTCAAATGCTCACCCCTCTGATTTTCATATCTTTGTGTCACAAACTCTTTACAAACCAGGGTATATTTTATTTCTACTTTCATGTCATTATGGGTCACATATAGGGAAGCTGTTTGCACTTTGTATTTGTTTTTTAGTATGTATTAACGATATTTGGAGTTGCCATTACCAGCTTCTTATCACCATGAGCAAATTAGTGCCAAGATGATTTCAGTCACTTGGGGGAAGGAAATTAGTGTGAAAAAACGTTGTGCAGATGTACTATGGGTAAATGAACAGGTAGATTAATATCTTGGTAATATTAATAATCATAATGGAATGTTGATACTAGTAATCATAATGAAAGAACCATTCCAATCACAGTTACTAAATACCTGCATCTCTTCTGCGTCGTACATACTGAATTATTTAGCCTTCATAGGAACACTAAAAAGTAGATTCTTTTACAGGTGAAGAAAATGAAGCACAGAGGTATGTAAGGACTTCTGCCACATGGCACCATACTGCGCAGTGGGTGGGGTATGAATCCAGCTGTTCCGCTTCAGCCTCGATGCTCTCACTGTGCTAACTTACCTCTCTAGTGTGCTTTAGGATGTTTGCATCTCAGGGAACCTGGTTCAGATTCTGACTTTCTTCAGTCAAAGCTATAGTTCATCTCTTAACAGAATCTGGAGTTTTTCACTGATCCATCTGTCTCTTAGGAATTTTAACTCCTCTCTCTGCAGATGGTTTCTATTCTTCTAATACCAACCACATAGTCCCTTACATAATTAATGATTTCATCTACATGTATCTTAAAACTCAAAAATCATTAACAAGAAGTGAATATTTTGCCCATTCTTTGCAATAAGTCCAGATAATTGTGATTTGATATTTAAAATCAAAGATATATGGAATTATGAGAGATGAGAAAGGCAGTACAATTAGAAAATGTTTTGAAAAAAGACTAAATGAGAATGGGGAAATGGACAGTTTGTAATATAAGAAAAGGAGAAAAGGTCACAGAAAAAGGGAAAAAGAAAAATCATAGTAGGGAGAGTAGCAGAGGCTGGGACTTACATAGTTCTCACTTATCATGAGCTGGATCTTTTTCTCATTTTATCTGCAGTGTAACTATGGTTATGTGTAAAGTAGCTTTCCCAGCTAGTAAAGAGTGGAGCTGGGATTTGAACCCAAGACATTTGACTGGAGCAACTGTGTTCTTGACCAAGTAATGTAGTTATTTTCTTGATGAATAGCCATCCTAGATAAAATATCAAGATTGCAAAATATGAACTGAACAAATACAAAAAATTCTCAAGAGAACAATATTTTCATTAAAAACGCAGTAACAATTTAAAATGTGGTTGCTGATAAAAATGTGTATGTATACAACAAAATACAATTGTTTTCTACTAACCAAATGAGAGAATAAGATCATCATAAAATAACCTTTTTTGTTTGTTTGTATGTTCATCAGCTTTTCTGCAAAATCATCAACCTTGAAATATTGACCATATGTGTATATCGTAAAAAGACGTAGAGATACATTCATATGTAAATATACTTAGAGAATGTTTCTTAAAAGATATTTCTAAAAGAAAACCAAAAGTAGTTATTTCTGGAGAGTGCGTTTATAAATTCAATAATTTGGAGACAGCTTTAAATTTTCTTTCATTTTTCTATGTACTTTGAAATATTAATGATAAACATGAATTATTTCATCATAAATATAGTTAATAAATGGACACACCATATTGAAAAATATTTTTAGTAATTATCCACAGCAATGATAATCTCTAGCATTTGGGACAGCAGCATATTACTTGGGAAACTACTCTAAGTTGCTATTTATGTGAGTCAAAATTGGAAGCAATATAAATATCTCAAAGGACAAATAGTCAAAGAGATTCCATTTAAGACACTTAATACAATGTCACATAATTAAATTAACAGTGAAACTAATGATAAGTATGATAACATGGGAAGAAGGGCTATAATAATTCCAAGTCAAAATCAGGACACAAAATGATATTATATGAAGATTTCAATGACAAACTCAATATATTATGAACAAAAACTTGATGTAGAATAATCATAACATAGTATGTTAGAATTATGGGATATGTTTCAGATGAAGTTTTTAGAAGTATGCTGGTGAAATCAGGGTAAAATGAATATCTCTGGGTTACAAAACTATTTAGGTTATAGGCATCATTAGGAATTTTATAGCATGTTGAATTCAGAGGTAGAGACACTCAATATTCTGAGTTTAGTCCCAGAGTACAGTCAAGAGGGTAAACAGTTTTCCTCAATTATTCCAACCTCAAAGTTGCCTTGACCTTTGTTATATAATGACATCAGGGAAGCGTACATTGAACAAGAAAGGTGTAAGTAAAAGATGGTCAAAATAGATTTACGTAAAGCATATTGCACCCAAGAAACTGATGGGTTCAGAGATGAAGGGGTCAGAGACCCAAAAATAAGTGAACTGAACTGAGAGTACTTTCTTCCAGAGGGATTCTCTGACAATATGAGTGCTTAATTTTAGTGGAATAGTCTTTTTTAGATGTCAAAGCATATAGATAAAACGCATAACACATGAGATATATGTGTGTATCTGTGTGCATAAACAATCTTTTAATGCTTAAGAAAACTCAGGTCAGGTAGGGCAAATATTTGCACTCAATTTTTCACTTGAAGCTAAATTTTGAGATAGTTAAGGCACTTGCCAAAGGAGAAGTGAAATTCTGCAGTTTTCAATCTTGGTAGAAATCATAATTTTTAAAGGACATTTAATTTTATCTCCCCAGATGCCAAGGCTTTGTTGATCCAAGGCAGTTAGCTTCTGAATCAACAGACATATCTGGGAGAGGCTTGGGCATCTGCAGATTTACCAAGAGTCATAGAGGATTGAAGGCAGTCAGAGGTAACATAACATGGAGCAAAAGCAAGGCATTCAGAGTTCATCCCACTGATCTTCCCAAGCTGTCACTTCTTTTCTTCTCTTTGCAGATTCAGCCCTTGTCCTCAACTGCACCTTACTTTCAGCCAGTAGTACTGCGATGAATAGCAGTGTGACTGAATTCATTCTCCTTGGGCTGACACAGGATCCAGGAAAGCAGAAAGCAGTATTTGGGGTCTTCTTGATCTTTTACCTTGCGACACTGTTGGGCAACTTTCTCATTGTAGTGACTATTAAAACAAGCAGGACCCTTGGGAGTCCTATGTACTTCTTCCTATTCTATCTGTCTTTTGCTGACACCTGCTTCTCTACAACCACAGCCCCCAGATTGATTGTGGATGCCCTTGCTCAGAAGAAGACCATTTCCTACAATGAGTGCATGACTCAGGTCTTTACACTCCATTTCTTTGGGTGCATGGAAATCTTGGTACTCATCCTCATGGCTTTTGATCGCTATGTAGCTATTTGTAAGCCCTTGCGATACACTACCATCATGAGCCGGCATGTGTGCAGTGTTTTGGTGATTCTAGCCTGGGTGGGATCTTGTATCCACTCTTCGGCACAAATTTTCCTGGCTTTGAGATTGCCTTTCTGTGGCCCCAACGTGATTGACCACTATTTCTGTGACTTGCAGCCCTTGTTGAAACTTGCCTGCGTGGACACTTATGTGATAAATTTGCTAGTTGTTTCCAACAGTGGGGCCATATGCACGGTGAGTTTCATAATCCTGCTTGTGTCCTATGTTGTCATCTTGTATTCTCTGAGAAACCACAGTGCTGAAGGAAGGCGAAAAGCCCTTTCCACCTGCACCTCCCACTTTATTGTGGTTGTCTTATTTTTTGGTCCGTGCATATTCATATACACACGCCCCCCAGCTACATTTCCAATTGACAAAATAGTGGCTGTGTTTTATACAATTGGGACGCCCCTGCTCAACCCTCTGATCTATACTCTGAGGAATATGGAAGTGAAAAAAGCCATGAAGAAATTATGGTGTAGCAAAGTATGACTTCTTTGGATACAGGATATTCAGGGATTTCAATGTAGTTTTCCTTAAGAGCTTGGTTTTCCTTCATGGACAGGCACGATGAAATATTCTCATTGTGGGAAAAATCCACTGGGAAATTTTAATTTCACTAATATTTTATATATTAAATTGAATTATTATGAATAAATACACATATATACACAACTTATTCAGATAAGATGGCATTAGAATAGGATTACTAAGGGGCGCCAGGGTGACTCAGTCGGTTAAGCGTCGGACTTCAGCTCAGGTCACGATCTCACGGTCCGTGAGTTCGAGCCCCGCGTCGGGCTCTGGGCTGATGGCTCAGAGCCTTGAGCCTGCTTCTGATCCTGTGTCTCCCTCTCTCTCTGCCCCTCCCCTGTTCATGCTCTGTCTCTCTCTGTCTCAAAAATAAATAAACGTTAAAAAAAAAAGAATAGGATTACTTAAAATCCATAAACATTGTGAACTACCTGGGCTGGCTCTCAGTTGAATTCTTTTGACAGCTGGCTATATTCACATGATAATTTCTCTTCCTGTATGATTTGTTTTCAGAAAAAAATATACTGACTATTGACAGAACGATTGTGTGTGTGTGTGTGTGTGTGTGCACACTAATTCTCTACAGATTTTATTCTAGTTTTTAAGAACTTGGATGTAGAGCTAATCCGTATGGAACCAGAACTTAGAAATGAAGGTCGTGGTCTTGACAACCTGGGAGTTGGGGAAGATGTTCTGAGAAAATTATGTGGTGGAATCTGTGCCTGAGGCTGACTCACTGGGACATGGATGGGCCCTCAAACTCCACGAAGAGCTGGAAACCTCAGTGAAAACCTGGACTGTCTCTGGAAAACACTCTCAGTATTCAGTGAATGGTGGGAGAAGGAGAGTTTTACAGTTGGCAGTGATGGGCGGTATCAGCCAGGAACTGCTTTTTGGCAGGGTCCTTCTCTTTCATCGCCACAGATCAGGGTCAGTGAGGGGGTTTGGCAGCAGGAATATGCAGAAGGTTAAGGGGTAGAAGGGTGCTAGAAAACAATGTACAGTGTAGAGCAAGCAAAGGTGAAAGGAAAGTGGTAACTGTATCCAGGTGGGATAGAAGAAGATTTGCCTTTTTATATTGGAGAATCACTCATTGGGTATCTGAATGTTTGCAGGGAAACAAATGCAGTTCCTGGGTATCTCTGTAAAATTGACCTAGATTAGCTTGACTTCCTGAGCTCTTCCATTTATTTGCATACCGGGAAAACACTTTATTTATTTATTTATTTATTTATTTATTTATTTATTTATGGTTCCCAATGGTGTCTGAAAATTCAAATTTCCTATTCCTTGGGAGATCCCAGGATTGAAGGTCCACATTACTGCTTTTTGTTTATGGTCTTCTGGTTTTGTAGAGGAATGTTTAAATATGTATTTTAATTTTTGAAGTTAAACTAATTGATATCTGTAATAAAAACCCTACCACCATAACCACCACCATGTCTGCCTCCACTACATTATAATCCCATATTTAAGTACTGTCATGTGATGCTGTTTCAGTAACTGAACGTATAGTTCCTATCAAATTTGCACCAAGAAGAATTACATTAAGTGATACAGGCTAATGAGAAAAGAATCCAATGACCTTCCCAAGTATGAGATCATTTCTAGCAACTGAAGACCAAATGTTATCATGTCTCATCTAAGATACCCAAGACTCCTACATAGAAAGAGGTGGCAGAATAAATTGTTAAATCCCAAAAAGAACATTTGTCAGAGCTCTCAGTGCCATATTACAAGAGGCAATTATGTTTTATGTTCTAAGTGAAGACTCCTGATCTTCCTATTTTTGTGTCTTGCATTTTCATTTCTGAAGCATTTGAATCTGGTCATGTGAAGTTTACATTTAGAATATTGGATTCTTAAGTGACCAAGACATAATAAAAATAAACGTTTAATTCTTATCATTTTTAGATTTTTAAAATTTAATATAGTGGGAGAAAGAAAATATTCATTAGTATTCAGAAAGCTGTGAGAATTTTCTTCTCATGCTTAGATCATTTAGATCCCAGCTTCCCTTAGATTTTAGATAAAGTCAGTTCATAAGGGTGGAAGAAGGGGTCAGGGGACTAAAAAGTCTTACGTGACCTGGTACCTTAACAAACTCACTCACCGTGTCTGCTTCTGGCAAATGGTGAAAGATTTTTCTTTGCCTTCCTTTTGGGGGATTTTTGTAGGCTCTCTAATTATAGTATCCTGGGTGTGGGAAGAAGATTTCTGTTTCTTATGATCACTGATGACCCCTTGTTAGCCCTCAGAAAGCCAGTGGTTTCCTTCCAAATTTTGTACCCTTCCCAGTGATCTCTTTTGAGCTAGTCCCTAGAAGTTCTCCTTATGGCTTCTCTGTGGGAGTGTGTGAGGAAACATCCAGGCATATCTGCTCCCAAAGAGTTATATTTATATGGAAAACTTCTAACATAGGCTAATGTCAACCAGTCACCCTCACCTGATACCAACCAGTCTCTCTTCCTTCCTTGGCTTTCCTTATCTCATTCTGCTTCCTGTACCCATATGGAGGGCCCCATGCTATGTTCTCAGAGTAGTGCTCCAGCACTCAAACACACACACACACACACACACATGTGATGTCTGGGGTGAGGGACAGACATATCTCTACAGTGATTTACTTAAGGATTTTTTTCACAAGTCTCTTGGCCACTTTATAACTTGACCACGTCTATATCCTTTTTCTAGTAAGATACTTTCCTTCATCTTTTCCTTTGGTTTGGAAATTGGCATAAGGTGATTTAGACACACAGTTCACATCCATTGTGTCTATACAACATTTCAGTTTTAACACCTTTTTACATAAGAAAGGTTACATTATAATTTGTATGAACACTGGGCCTCAACAAGATTTAGTTTCATTTAGAAAGTCATGGTAGACACCACTGGAGGGGCCAAGATGGTGGAGCAGCAGGGAAGTCTTTTTTTCCCTTTCTCGTCCCTGAAACGCAGCTAGATCAACACAAAACCACCTGCACACCTAGAGAAGAGATTTGAGGATTAACACAACAGTCCGCAACTTCAGGCACAGAACTCATCAGGTACATGGTGCAGAGAGGTAAACTGGGGGAGAGAGAAGCTGTGGAATGTAGGGAGCTGTTTTTGCTTGTGGACAGAGGACAGAGACAGGGCAAGAGTACAGGAAATGCACTCCCCCTAAAAGAGGCTAGTGAAGAAGAAAAAAAGCGGAAACACCCACAAGAAATGGAGAAAGAGAACTTAGAAAAGAGAGGGTTTAATTATGTCTCCATAAACAGGGGTGGGCAGAAGCTGAAACTCTACAGCTCAATACCCGGTGAAGCTCTGTTTGGAAGGGTGAATTCCCCAGCAGCAGACAGTGAGGTCCGAGGGGGTGCTAGGGGAGAGGAAGTTTCCCTTCCAGGATAACATTTGGTAAACGCTGGGTGGCCTCCCCACAGGCAATGGTCCCACCAGACCCTGGATAAGAGCCACATTCACTGGGGTTGTGACGAGGATGTTAAGGGTGAAGCCTGGTGCCATATCTGTGTTGTGATTTACCATAATTCATAATCCCTGAATAACTGCTGCTACACAATTGCATGAACTTTTTCTAGCACAGGCTGGAGCCAGGCTTCAGTCTCTGGGCATCTGCAACATCACAGTCATGTGAACCTTCCTGGGGGCAGGGAGGCACTGGCCATTGCTCTTGAGACCCTCCCCCAGAGCATCTCAGTGGGTCATAGCTGCGAGGCCCTCAGAAGTGAGGGGTTGGATACACAGTCCCATCTGAGATAAAATGTGGGGGGAAGGTGCTGCCTGGTGGACTGATGTCTTGGTCACAGGCAGTGTAGTTGCGGGGAGTGGACAGAAGCCTGAGACAAAGGAGGAGTGTTTGATTGCTGGTGGGGGAGTTCACAGAGTTCTGATACTAGAGACTGGGTAGCTTGGTGTTTCCATTTTCAGCCCTCCTGAGCATGTGAATACACACCCATGCTTGCCACAACCTTCCACTCTAACAAACTAAGCAGCGCCATCTTGTGGAGGATCGATCCATTACACCAAGACCCTTCCAAGTGGGCCAATGGTGCTCTAGAGGAATGCCACAAGTGTCTGCCTGCTTTGTTTACAACTATAAAGTGCTTGATAGTTTGACTCCTGGGGGAAACTGGATTTCTTTGAACCATATTTCATTCTGTTCACTGGTCCATCTATTCAATTTTTTTTCTTTTCTTTTCTTTTCTCATTCTTGAAAAGACAAAAAGAAAAACTTATATTTATTTTCCAGTTTTATAAAAAGATTTCTCTTTAGGTTTTCTACTTTACTTTTACTTTTTTGTAAATTTTTAAATCCTATTTCACTTTCATCATCTCATTTTATTCTACCTTATTGTATTTGTTATTTTAAATTTTCAAATGTTTTTCTTTTTGTCCCCCTTTTTTTCACTTGTTTTATTTCCTTTGTTCTCTATTCTATCAAGCTTCTTTCAACAACCAGACCAAAACACACCTACAATCCAGCATTCTTTATTTGATATTTTTGTGTTGTTTTAAATTTTTATTTATTTCTTTTACTTTATTAATTCTTTCTCATTCTTCAAAATGATGAGATGAAAGAATTCACCCAAAAAGAAAGAAGAGGAAGAAGTGACAACCAGAGACTTAATCAACTCAGTTATAATCAAGATGTCAGAAACAGAATTTAGAATCACAATATTAAGAATACTACTCAGCTTAAAACATACACACACACAGACACACGCACACACACAATCACTTTCCGTGGCAATAAAAGAAGTAAACTCTTGTCAGAGTGAAATTAAAAATGTTATAACTGACATTCAATCTCAAATGGAGCCATAGTGGCAAGGATGGATGAAGCAGAGCAGCAAGTCAATGATATAGAGGACAAAATTATGGAGAATAATAAAGTTGAGAAAAACAGGAAAACTAAGGCAAAAGAGCATGATATGAGAATGAGAGAACTCAGCGAC